ATAAATATACATATATATATAAGTATAAAATATAAATATACAAGTCAAATGTCAGGTACTACACTGGCGACACAGGCGGTGTTGCTTTTGTATGTAGACAAGGGGTGAATCAAATCGAGATATACAGGATGCAGTCAGAAACAGACTCCCTAAAATAGCACATAATAGACACGCATCCTTAAAGACTGGCATACTACAAGTTTCTTGATCCTATCATACTATATATTACTTAATGCAAGCACACTATTTTTATCTCTATACTACCAGACTATACATATCTATACACTAACATACCATATCTTTATTAGTACCAACAAACTGCATACCTTTTAACACTTTCATGCCATTTCTTTCCCCCACAGTCGCGAGTCTCAGACCCTCCACGTGAGTAACATCGACGCTTTCGGAGGCAAAGACCCCTCTCGCACACAGCAGAGCTTCAACTCCTTCGCTCAGTCGCAGGACTACTTTGCCTGGATCTCCCTACAGGTCCGAAACTGCAAGTTCCACAACTTCTTCTCGTAAGTGAACGTGTATACGTATCTTGTATAACGGAGGCTTCTCGTAAGTGAGCGTATAGACACACAATAACAAATACTTCTGGCAAGTGTGTGTATATACACGCTACAACAACTGCCGATGAGATGTGTATATTCATCAAGACATACAGCAGTGCTAGTTCTGCAGAGTTGTGTCTGATGATGTATGTTGTAGCGTATTAGAAGTGCGTCTGCGTGCACACTTATATGTATGACTCATTTGAATAATAAAAGAGCGGCTGTGCGGTTTCTGTCTTCTACTGCGACAGTACTAGAAGGACGTATGTGATGCTGTTTAAATTGATGTATACAGAGTTCCATAGGTAACAATATATACGCAGAAACTAAATCAACACATACTTATCTAACTATACATACACATACAGATCAGTGTACCTTTCCCAAAATATATATACTTATCTAATCATATATGCACGTACAGATATATATACTTATCCCTCAAATACTATACCCTATATAAAACTACACCTCACCTACCCTATTTACAATCCTCATACCCTACATACAAAACCGTTCCTTTCTCCTAACCCATAACCCATAAATCAAAACCTAAACCCTATAAACCCTATCTATCACACACAGGGCCCACCGCGGCTCCGTCTTCTTTGTGTGGACTACAGGTAACGTGACAATCGACGGTGACTCAGCTTTCACTTATAACACAGTCGCAGACAGGAGAGAGGTCTTCGGCGGTGGGGCGGTTTCTCTCGGGTAAGTGTTCGATTGACTGAGATTCGGAGTGTTTTCTTGTGTGAGTGTGTGTTGCATGGGCATCTGTAGGTATATTTGGCATCTGTAGGTATATTTGGCATCTGTAGGTAAGTTTGGCATCTGTAGGTATATTTGGCATCTGTAGGCATGTTTGTATAGTACGTCGTGGGAGAGAACGCACTCGCACGCAATGATATATAATCACGAACGATCATCATGAGATCAGCACAGCATACATGCATGTGACTACACATACATTACTATACGTACATGTGTAACACACATATACAACTATACATACACGTGTAAACATCTGTAAATACACATCTCTATATCACACGACCTCAGAGTGTTCACCTTACAATTTACGTTTGTATGATGAGTGTTGACCTGAGATTTTACGTTTATATGAGTGTTCACATTACATTTTACGTTCTTATGAGTGTGTTCACCTTGCAATTTACGATTATATGAGTTACAATTAATGTTTATGTGAGAGTGTTCACTTCACATTTTATGTTTATATGAAAGTATTCAACCCACCACTTACATATTTTACAGATACATCGCAGAGGATGCCTATGTCAATATCACAGCCACGTTCCACAACAACGCAGTAGTCTATCCTTATCCCTTTGGCTCTGAGCACGGAGAAGGTGGCGCTATCTTTGCCGGTATGTTCTAGTAAAAACATAGCCCCTACCTCTTTTCCATCCTTATAGATGAAGCATGTTTATACACTCTATGACCTTCTGTCATGTGCCACTTGATACGTACAGTGATTTCTTGACAACATGGCCAATACGTTACAATGTACACAAAGGATGTGCAACTTGTGAGTGCCCTATGATAGCTCACCAGTAAACACGCAAACATGAACAACGCACTTGCTGTTCTACTATCTCATGCAATACATGCTATCCCATCTACCTATACTTCATTTGAGGTGTATAAAGAGTGCGGCACATGGTATGCTCTACATATCCTCACCCATCTACCCTTTCAATCTAGCTATCCTTTGCCTATTATACCTACCTATCCTTTACCCATTATATCTACCTATTATATCTACCTACTATTTACCTATTATATCCACCTATCCTATACCTGCGCTATATACAGAGTATAGCACAGGGCATGTATACATCGGAGGAGAGTTTAAGAACAACTTCGCCGCAGACGGAGGGGCTGTGCACATTAAGAACGTCGAGAGTGGCACCTTAACGCTGGATGGCCATTTCGAGCACAATATGGGTATGTGTAGGTGTGTGTACGTGGATGAATACATTATAGGGATATGAATATGTATTCACGTGAAAAACAAGGAGAATGTATGTCTTTTAGGGTTTAGGGTTTTAGTTTCGAGCACAATATGGGTATGTGTAGGCGTGTGTGTACATTGATGTATGCATCATAAGGATATGAATATGTATTCACGTGAAAAACAAGGTGAATGTATGGCTCGAGCACAATATGTGCACAAACACATATACTCGACTATACCACTCACCCTGTCTCCATCCCACCCCAACTTACCTACACACAGTGCTGGACACAACCACTACACAGCATACGTACACGTACACATAGACTTATCCTTGCTATTTATACATCTCCAAATATGATACCTACCAACACTATCTCACACTTACACCCCACCACACACACACATACACCAACTATACCACTCACCCTTCCCTTCCCACCTACAGCCCTCGACACAGGCGCAGGCTGTCGCGGAGGTGCGCTCCGTATCTTCAACCTGACAGCTCCGGTGATCCTGCGTGGTACGTATGTAGACAACTTGTCTGACACGGGTAGAGGGGCTGTAGTGGCTCTGAACATCCTCAACCGAAACTCGAGCGTTGAGCTGGACGGGGAGTTCCGGCTGAACACGTGCGGCACTCAGGGCGCCGTGGTGTCGCAGACGTCGTCCTTTTTTGGTATGATCTATTTATAGAATTGTGTTCTATTTATAGAAGTTTGTTCTGCTGTTTATAGATTGCCCGGGGTGTGTGCTGGAGGTTTGCATAGTGTTTCGGGTATTTGAAGTAGAGTGTAGTTGTCCCCCCAGGCACATACCTTCGCAGGTGAGTGATCACCAACTTCAGTTAATACATACTTTTGCATTATGTCCTACTCCCATCCATACATGCAAAGACCCATATACACATACCATACATGCATAGACCCATATACACATACCATACATGCATATAGACCCATATACACATACCATACATGCATAGACCCATATACACATATTATACACGCATAGAACCATATACACATACCATACATGCATAGACCCATATACACATATCATACATGCATAGACCCATATACACATACTGAACACTGCCTACACTCCAACACATATACACCGGTCGCGTTAGCTGCATTCCCATACATACATGCAGATACTGAACATTGCATACGCACATAAATATACCCACACACACATACTAAACAACTCCACCACACACACATACTAAACAACTCCACCACACACACATACACAGGTGAAATCACCTACAAGAAGGGATGCAAAATGCTCGGCAATGAAGGCTACGACAACCCGAAGTCGAATATTATGTACATCCAACGGCCTGTAGTACAGCGTTTAACGCACGAGGACCTTGTAGTGGACGCCTCCGGGGGGATTGTTGAGGATCTCAAGTTCGTTATGATCACGGCCTGAGGCAGACATGGGGTAGAGAAGAAAACGTAAACGTTTGGCTTAAAGCTGGCGCTATGACGGCTTAAAGCAGACGTGTATAGAGGGACACACGTTAACGTTGAGCGCATACCTGACACGGCACATGTGTGTCACTTGAGCGTGCTAGATTAGAGGAGGATCCGAAGCAGGGTTTTCAGGTTTTAGGGTTTGTATTCAACCCTATGAGCCCGGAGGTGAACGAATGGGTAGCGAGTAGTGTGTATGCGAAGATGCTCGGTACGGGAGAGGGGACTCTGACACAACCAGCCGATCTTTATACTAACCCACGCCTTAGCCACCTATGATAGTAGGATACTGACCAACGGCTTAGCCGTCTATTATAGTCCATGCAATGGGGTGCGCTGTGTGGTGTGGTGTGGTGTAGTCAGGTAGACGGGCGCAGGTGCATCTCTGACTATCTGACCGGATAAGGAAGTAGGATCTGATAAAACCCTAAACCCTACCCTAAAACCCAAGTGTATATAGAGTGAGAGGGGGGTATTCAATGGATCCAGAAGAGTTGTCCGAATGCTGTGGAATTAGCGAGATACGATTACAACTCTGGTTATCCCAAACGACCATCCCCGTCCAGCTGACAGTGTTGCTTTGATAGTCTAACAGATGAGGTTGGATGCGCAGAATAGCAAACAACAAATAGCATTAAAGGAGCAAATGAGACAAAATGACCCGAAAACAATATTCGTGCACATACCCAATCCAAACAAATCTTAATATTAACCCGAATAAATGTTTCCTCAGCTGACAATGTGGCTTTGATAGTCTAACAGCTGAGGCTGGGTGCGCAGATTAGCAAATAGCAATTAAAGAAACCAATTGGAACAGTATGGCCCGAGGTTTTCGTGCACATTCCCGATTCGCACCAATTTCGCAAATATTGAGTGATATCTGTTACCCCCCGTGCCTGAGTGGCAGTTTGAGGTGTGTGTTTCAGGTGTGTGTACATTTCAGTTTGTTTTCGCTTGATTCAAACACTTAACACCAACATTAACTACAAAATTAAAACCTGTGCGATAACTTTATATAATATTATATTGTCATCTACATTTCGGTTCGGCTTGCTTTCGCCAAATTAGCGACATTCCTCTCTCGTTGAAACAATCGCATTTCGTACCTGCACGCGCTGCAGACGTCTTTANGTTCTCAGCAGCGGCGATAGTATATATATA